AAAAAAAAAAAAAGAAAGCTGAAGGGTTCTTTGTGGAGACAGAATGGACATCAGGTAACAGTCACCATTTGCAAGAACACAGAGGGGAGATTCACAGCTCAGCTGATTCTACCTTAGCCCCCACACAACTGGGAAAAGTATAACCTTGGCTGCCCCTGCTGGAGTCCACCTGCCTTGCCCTTCCTGTCTGGTATTCACCGCTCTGCTTTTGTGGGCCTGGATTTAAACCTCTTTCAGCACTTAAAACTCTTCCCAAGTTCTGTCTGGATGACTACTGTCTGTCATGTTAGCCTTCTGGCCTGACAGCATTCTTAATTATCCAGTCACGACAATGCTCCCCATGCATTTAATAGATGAAAGAAGAGAGCCACGGTGTTGGGTCTAATGTATCAGCAGGGCTGACTTCACAGGGGAATCATGCTTTTAGGGTATTAGGTCAGGTATTAGGAAGATCTTTCTCTCTCTCTCTCTCTCCCTCCCTCCCTCTGACACGAGTGCAGGCCCCCGGGCTTGGTACTCTCCACCGGGAACCAAGAACTCTGAGGGGCCAAGGTAGCAGATTTTATTCCTACTGTTGCAGCTTTGCCCACTCAAGCGGATCAAACCAGATGCCACACTTTTCCCTCAGAGGCTCTCAGGTGCTTCCCAAGCCTAACACAGCTGTACCTGCCTCTCTTTGGGGCTCATCAGTCATCAGCCTCTGACTTCCTTGGGCTGAAATTACCATCTGAGACAGAGCTGCCAAGTCGTTTCAGAGAATGAGAAACAGGGCAAGGGCAAGAGAGCCTAAGTCCTCGATCACCATTTGATTAGGCACACTCTCCTACTCTGACTGGCTTTCTGGTCATTCATTCAACCAACCAATGAACCAACCAACCAACCAACTAACCAACCAACCAATTGAATGGTTGCTTACTGAATGTCTATCTTGTGTCAGGCATGAAATGGGAAAATGATGGTAAGTAAATTACAACAAACCAAGCAGAACAGATGTGGCCTATCGTTTCAGTGAGACAGATTAAATAATAAAACCTATGTAAAAAGTTATTACAGGGAATGACATCGTGTTGCAAATTGTACAGTCGGGAGAGGTGGAGAGCTAAAAATTGGATCTGATTGAAAATTTCCAGGAAAGCTTCCCAGATAAAGTTATATCTGAGCTGTGATGACCTGAAGGGAAGAAATAACTTATCTAAACAAAGGACACCAGTGACTGACATGGAGGTGAGGAGTCCAGGCAAGGGTGACAGAGGGAACCAGATGTGCAAACGCCCTGCAGCAGAAGGGGGGTGGTATAATCAAAAGAAGTTAAAGACACAGGAGGGACACATTATTAAATCAGACTGAAGGGGAGAAAAATTACATTTGGGAACTTGGGGCCTAGTTTCTGATTTTTATTTTGTTCCTAAGAGCAATGGGAAGCCATTAAAGTGAGGTTTAGTGGAAGACGGCATGATGATGGTTTTAATTCAAAAAGATCACTCTGGTTACAATATGGAGGGTGAATTGGAAGGAGGCCCAGGTATTCTGGGAAGCTAATTAGGGGATAGCTCAGGGTAGATGATGGGAGATTGAGATATGAGTTGCAACAGGAAATTACATGTACCTTCCTGTCAAAATTAACTCCCATCATTTATTGGTTTTGAAAGCAGTGAATCTCAGATTTTGCTATCAGCATCTCTTGTAGAAATTAAAAGAAAAAATGCTGATGCCCAGTTACCACTCAAGACCCCTCCCCTCTTGGCTCGGGGCCTCTGGGGAAGATGCTCAGT